AGATCCAGATGCCACTGAGGCAAATTTGAGTTGGACAGATGCCAAGCAGTCTACGTCGTCGGCGATTAAGTGTGGCTGACGTTAAACTTCCTTGCAATAATAATTTGCGTTTCTTCAGAAATACTGCGGAACACATGATAGAATTTATCGCCTGAACCTGCAACAAGGTTAGGCAACCGGAGACCGCCAGCAATGTTAGCACCAGATACATTTTGGTTTCACCGCAAACCCAAAAGATTGCAGGTGGAAATAATGTCCGGATTCGAGAAAAAAAGCGGTTACACGACAAACTTTCCGGATTCAAAAGTTATCGGATTCAAAGTTCCCACTTTAAATTCCGGATTCAAAATCTCCGAAGACACGACCAAACCGGGAAGTTTTTATTTCGGATTCGTCCGCTTTCGTGTAAACGGCAGAATGAATACGGTACTAAAACGTTTCGGATTCATCACGAATCCGGAACAATTTCCTCTAGTGTAAACCTAGTCAAAGACGAGCGATTTTGATGCCTCGTAAACAATCCTGCCGATGAAAAATAAGATTTCTACAGCTGACCAACTTATGCTTAAATTAGTAATAATTTTGTAATAGGAAATGGCTTCTTTCTAGAACTTGGTTTTTAAAATATGTTCTGAAGACTTGGACAAAAAAAATTGCAGACTTGACGTTTTGATGAGATTGTCACAAAACAACACCCATTAGATGTGACTTAAATTATATACACGACCTTTTGGTGTTTTGATAAGATTGTCACAAAACAACACCCATTAGATGTCCTGTATGTGACTTAAATCACAGAAGACCTTTAGGTGTCTGCAATGACACAAAATTGAACGGATTGTATGAAGCTCGCCATCTTGAGACGATCAATCGAAGAACAGCAACACCTCGTTTTCACCAGTATGCTGATTCTTAGTTTGCATGCACGAAGCCCATTTAGTTGTATATGGGAAAGAACGCAACAGCGCTGTCCCACACTTTTTTCTAGAACTTATATCGTTGTCTTCAATTTTCGTCTCTACTTATTGACACAATTCTTCGCATGTTTTTTGCTTACGTCTCTGATATACAGAAATAGCAATTATTGATGATCAAGCTTCGATGCATGCCCGTGCAGAAAGAAATGATCCAAAAATACGCTTTTGTGATACCTTCTTTTCAGGTTTTTAATTTACGTTCGACGAAGTGTCATCATGGGAAACACCCTTTGGCCAGAACACGTTTCCAGATTTTTCCTACTGAATTTTTCCTACGGTCTCTTGAATCTTCCTCAAGCCACTAGCAAGACGTGTAACACTCGAACTGGTTGGTAATTAGTAACATTTCTGACTTTAGCAGAAAATTATTGTTCAGTGTTGTTCATTGCACTCAAGAACGGTTATCATATAGTAGTATGGTTTGTCTGTGCTTAACGATGCGGACAGCGTTGAAATAGATTGTAACGTTGCTGTTGCATAGTACAAGTCTCCCTTAGGCGAGAAGGTCTACGAACGAGGATCAGCTTTGATCCGTTTGCTCCTCGCTGCAGTGATTGGTTGATCACTATCGTCGCTGTTTCTGTAGATCATAATGTCCTTACCACCTGACTAATTGATAAACTTAGAGCAATGCGATCGAAAATAGCGATAAATAGGATGAAATTTTTTTATATCTGGTATTGTTTAAATTAAAAAAATTTCCTTTTTTCTCAGAATTGTTGAGATCATGCATTTTATTTCCTTTCCCTCTGCTCCAGTTATACCTGAAATTAAAATCTCGTCCAGCTCACCTAACCACACGCTTGCTATTGGGGCAGCCCTTAATATGACCTGCATAGCGTGGCCAAGGAATAGCGACCAACTATTTCCCAGGAGATGGATCAAATATATTCAGTGGTATGATCGTCAGGGTAGACCAACTGGAGCCAAATGCCTACAGGGTACACCAAGAGTGCTAAAACTACACTGTACATTAATGCTCAAGTCGATAGCTTCTGAACAATTTGGAAACTACACTTGTGAGGCAGAAAATGATTATTTGGGATATTGCAGGAAAAAAACGGTCGAAATTGTTTTACACGGTAAGTAGCAAATCAGGAAAATCCTGTTTTAATACGAATCTTAACCGGATATCTTAGGCAATACTTTCTGTGACTATAACTTTGGCCAAAAATCGTATAAAAGCAACCTTCCCAGTGTTGTTTCCGACATAAAGCTCCATGATATTTTTTATTGATTATTCATAATATCAAGCCCAAAGCCGTCTTTTCATCTCTAAGACATGAATATCGACTCTAAACTGCAATGCGGATGACTTAATGCCTTATTGGCTGCGTTATACTGCTAGCTAGCTCTCAGTGATTATTTGCGTCGCCTCTTACCATGCTGAGCGATATCAGCATGAATTTGTGAAAGAAATTTGAATAAAAAAATTACTAGGAGGTTATTTAGAAAGAAACCGATGTCCATTGGCCCCAAACACTCAAGTTTAGATATGAAATCCCAAAAATGTTTTTTAGTTTTTTTAGAGAATAAGGATAGCATTTTTCCTTTGTTTTAAAGAATGATTGCCATTTTGAAGAGTTATTTTCAGCTTTTCTGAAACCAGAGACTGTGACAGATCCAAGGAACCAAACTGTTGTTGCCGGCTTCGACGTAACCTTCAACTGTACCGCAAAAGGCCATCCCATGCCATCCATCATATGGATCAAGAACAATGCCTCACTTACTATACAGTCCGACCTGAGAATGAAGGTCATCATGATTACTCTGGACGACAAACATATTCATAGTCAGCTGGTAATAACAGGAGTACAGAGAGAAGATGGTGGAAAATATCACTGCCTTGCGAATAACAGGGCGGGAAAAGGGGCTTCAGCCCCGGCTTTTCTGACAATTAAAGATTTAGGTGAGACGTTTAAAAATACTTCTATATATGTTTAGCTTATAATAAACTTCGATTAGATAGCAGTGATAATTTTTTTTGGAGATGATACAAACGTATAAAAAAGAATATATAAAATGTGCAAAAGACCCATACTTAGGATGCTTTAAACACTTCGCCGTTACAATATATCGATATCCCCGGCCGTTACCTTTCGTAACGGCCAAGGATATCGCCAAAACAGATATACATACATACATACATACACACACACATACATACATACATACATACATACATACATACATACATGCATACATACATACATACATACGTTTATTGAAACTCCCAGGCTGGTTTTTTCAGTTACAAAGCCTACATTAAATTATTGTAATATTATAGTAACGTTTATTTAGTAA